GTACATGCCTGTATTTAGACCTCTATAAATGCCAATTGCCTCCGAGTTCTTTCCTCTATTTCCTTTTACTTTCCTCTTGTCCCACTATTGTGATCAGCCTTCATTTGGGTTTCAGTAATTCCTCTGGTTTACATTATCCTTGATCAAGCCCTAACAGGCCTCCTACACCCTCCTCACCATCGATTTTAGGTCACTTGTTAGTCCCTTGTCCCTGGGTTTGTTACCACCACTTCCTCCCTCCCCCCACTTCTCCCTCTCCCATGTCCCCCTGAAAACATCAGTCCTGTTGTTTTCTCCTCTGGATTATTTATCTTGCCTATCTTATCTAGACAGACCTGCAGAGATAATATGCACAAAGACAGGGTAACAAAACAAAAGAAAACAACAAAGAGTGACCCCCAAAAAAACCTATAAGTAGTTGAAGGCCTGTTTGTTGACCTTTGTTTTCCAGTCTGGTCTGATGGGGTGCCATACCCTGGCCTCAAAGTCTATTTTTGGTATTCCCCGGGACTTCCTTGCTCTGTTCTCCTTGCTGTTCTGTTGCATACCCTTAGTGTTTTGCCTCGGTGTGGTGGGGTCGGATCGGACCCAACTCCCGCACTGTGTCTCCAGTGTTGTCCCCCGGGAGCACTAGAAACCAATGTTTTATGGAAAGGGGCTGGGCAGCACAGCAACACGAGACTGAAGGAAAAGGGTTTTCAAAGGCTCTCTGCCTCAGAGACTTGAGTTCAAAGTGCTCTCCCCTTGGACTTCAGGTTAAACAATGGGGCCAATAATCAAGCAACCCCGTGCTTTAAAAGCAGCAACTGGATGGAGCTGCCAGAGGATAAACACTTCTCTAGAACCTACCAGTTCCTTGAACTTCCTGCATTCAAGTCACGCACGCTGCTCAAAGATGGTGTGCTTTTCAGGAAAGATTAGTGAGGGTGTCACGGGCACCACCCTTAGCACTACGGCCACTGCATCCACCACGCAGAGACCTGGCTTCAGAGAGAAGGAAGTCGCCAGGTGTTTTTGTCCCCCTCAGATTGCTGCTTAGGACTTCACAGAGAAGCAGGCCAAGCTTGCGGGAGGCCTGAGTGCAGTTAGGAGTAAGGCGGGAGAAGAGTTTTGTTGATGTTCCAGATCATATCCTCCTGAAATAGACCCTGGCATTTTGAGCCCTGCATTGTCGATCACAATTAGGACAAGATCCTCTATTCCTTGTTCGTTAAAGTAACCGTGGGCACTCTGGGCTGCGCAGCCAGTCACCACCACAAAGGGGGCGACGCCAGCCAGCTCAAGTGCACTGGGGAAGCTCAGGAAAAGATTTCACTCGTGGGGAGATGTGTTAGGCCAGGTTCTCTAGAGAAGCAAAGCAGGGGCATTCGTACGTGTTTGTATACAGAAAGATCAAGACATAGCGTCACACGTGTGGAAGGCAATGTGGCAGTACCTAAAACAACAGAAATGCCACCCAACACAGCAGTACTTTTGTTTCACATATAGCTCAAAGAAGAGCCAGAGTACCAACAGATGTATGCGCTCCCCTGTTCATGGCAGCGCAATGCACAATAGGCAGAAGCTGGACAGTCCAAATGCCCATCAGTAGAAAAAAGAAAAGTAAACCCTGGTGTGTACACAATGGAATATTGTGCAGCCCAAAAAAAGAGTGTTGAAACCATGCACCACCTCATGATGTGGAGGAACCCGGAAGCCATGATGCTGAAGCAGTGGGGCAGTTCCCAAAGAACAAATACTGTCGGAGGCCACTGGTTACATGGATGAACACTGAGATGAAGGCAGGCACCTGCTCCCATTCAAATCACCTTCTCATCTGTCTCCCACGCACCGAGCGAGAGAGCCTGCTGACCACCCATAAACTATACCACCCCTTCTATTTTTTAAAAAATCATTTTATTAGGGGCTCACACAACTCATCACAATCCATACACACATCAATTGTGTAAAGCGCATTTGTACATTCATTGCCCTCATCATTCTCAAAACATTTCCTCTCCACTTAAGCC